ACAGACCCGGCTGAAATTAATTCCTGTTGCCGAACGCGTAAAGCACGCACGATATTTACCGCACGTGCTTGTGTCTCAATTGACTTCCTCCCTCTTGTAAATGTTTTCCATTGATTAATTGACTGAACGAATGATAGATGGGTTGGCTGACTGATGGACTGATTGGATAAAACAAACTGCAGCTCCCCCTGCCGTCAATAAAGTGGTCTGGAACCTGGGTGACCATTTTAATAAAATCGTACTCTTCGTTGTAAAAAATATATGACACCCATTTGTCTACCAGGGAGTCGATGGGTAAACAAACGGAGTGACTGAGTATACAGCCTCCTATTCAGGAGGGTCCTGCCACATTGGAATGTTGGACCAGTGATCGTATTGAACCAGTGTCAGTATTGTTGAACCAGTGCTTGTAGTGAGCGTTTGCCTTCACGTGGGCGGAAATCGGACACCCAGGAGAAACCCCAGCACGCCATCGTGCTGGGGTAAACATTCAACACTCAAACTCCCAAACTCAACCCACTTGCTGCACTGCCATCTCCCAGCCGCGGGCTTGTCATTCTCGACGTGATCCACCAACCCCTCGCCACCACAGCGCAAGGCGTGCGGCGCCCGGCTCGGCCAATCTGGTTAACGGCGTGCGGCGATCATCGCCCGGTGCCTGTGGGTAACGTGGGGTGGAGGGGTGGGGGGCATTGGGGGAAGGATTTGAGGATGCGGGCAGTGCAGGCGGGTGGTGAATTTTCCCCATTGATGTTGAAGGGGGGCGATGCGGGCGGGGGGGCTAGACAGAGGAGCGATAGTGGGGGAGAGAGCCGGGCGCGTTGCCAGCTTGGATCGCTGGTCGCCCCCCCCCCCCACCACCACCACCCTGCGCCCCCCCCCCCCCCCCTGTCGCCTTACCCCCTAACGTCGCGTCCCTTAGGGCAGTGCGGTGCGACACGCTCCAATTACAGCAACAAATGAATTTGTAAAGATGCCCTGAAATGCACACGGCCGCGATCCCGGGAGCTGCTGAATGATTAGTGAAAGCTGTAATTAATATCGCCGGGCCTCATGCACAATTCACCAATCCCCGGCGTAGGCGGGGGAAGTGGGGGGGGGCACGGGGGAGGGGTCGGTGGCCCTTAGAGCGAAACGTCCACGGCGGCAGCGCGGGCGGTGAGCAGTGCAGTGTGAGCGGCCGCGGGCAAAACAAACAAACAGCCCCCAGGCTCACAGGGGCACCCGATCGTTCCGACGGGACGTTCAGCGGGCGCCGCAGTAACTCGAAATGTCCCCGCGATCTGTTTCGTGACCGTTAGGAAGAGGGGGGGGGTGGGGCTGGAGGTGATGATGATGATGGTGATGATGATGGTGGTCGTAGTCGAGACGGGAGTTGGCGTGGCGCCCAGGGGTCAGCCAAGGAGGAGAAGGACATCACGCCACGCGGCGGTGCTTGGTGAGACTCCAAGAGTGGTTCCTGGAGGAGGTGTGAAATATAAAACAATCACATTGATTCTGCTCCTTTATTGCAAGAACGACTGCACGGAGCCTCACAAATGTGTGACAGTGGAAAGACCTCACGCCAGGTTGTGCTGCTTTATGTAATTATATCTCGGAGTTTGGGGGGGGGGGGTCAACTTTGAAACGGCGAACAGATCTAACTAGAGGGAAGGAAGAAAGGATTAGTTGTAGTGACATCAACAGCATTGGCCGTGATGAGGTCTGGACCCACGTGAGCATCTCGCGCTTTTCTGATGCGCTTCTGCGGCCGTCTGGAACGCTCTTCCGATATTATGAAGCCACCTGTGCTTTGCACTTTTAAACCGTCTAGTTTGAAAACTAGTTTTTTTACTGCTTTTTGTGTTTCGTTTGTTGTCCTTCCCTCGCGCCTCCAATTAGCGTAGTTGGCTACGTACGGCGAGAAAGAAGTTCAACATTTACGTAGATACACACAAGGAGGAAGCAGTGGCTCAGTGAGACACGAACAGACACCACGACAACATCGCTGTGCTGCTGACCCCCACGTGGAGATGGAACCCACTGCTCCATCCCTCCCTCCTCCTCCTGCCCCCGTCACACAAATGGGGTCCACACCTTGGACACGGAGATCTTTGATTCCGTGCTTTTCTCCGTTAACGAGTGTGGCTTGCACCTCCGAGCAAAAGAAAAAAACGCCACCGCGGATGAATAAATGATGGCGCGGGTTTGTGTTGCCGGAAAGAGTCCGCTCCTAGACGCTGAGAGTAACCACACGTGGTGTCGCGAGCGCGTGGGGGCAGAGGGGACGTAGAGGGCATGGTGGGGGGCACAGAGCGGGGCACAGGGGCATGGCGGGGGGGGGGGGGGTCACATCTGTGGCCAATTTAGTGAGTGGAGCACAGGGCAGGGTGACATCTCCCCTCCAGCTCCCATCTCTCCACTTGATCTCCATCTCCCATCCACCTCCACTCCATCTCCCATCCACCTCCGCTCCATCTCCCATCAACTTCCGCTCCATCTCCCGTCCACCTCCGCTCCATCTCCCATCCACCTCCGCTCCATCTCCCATCCACTTCCGCTCCATCTCCCGTCCACCTCTGCACCATTTTCCGTCCACCTCCGCTCCATCTCCTGTCCACCTCCGCTCCATCTCCTGTCCACCTCCGCTCCATCTCCCGTCCACCTCCGCTCCATCTCCCATCCACTTCCGCTCCATCTCCCATCCACTTCCGCTCCATCTCCCATCCACTTCCGCTCCATCTCCCATCCACTTCCGCTCAATCTCCCGTCCACCTCCGCTTCAGCCTGACAATAACAATCAAAGTAACCCTAAACTCATCTCTAAATGTTAACCCTGCAACTAACATTAACCCCAAACCCTTAAACTGATCCTATCTTAACCCTCGTCTGAGTGTAAACAAAAAAGTCCTGAATAAAAACGTCCACGCATATCTGTTTGTAAAGCCTTTGGTCAATCCACTGCTTGATGAACGCTTCTTGATGCCGTGTCGGTCGTGGGGGTTGCTTGACCACACTTCACCGCGCTGTCAGTGCGGGTTGATGAAGGCCGGGCACAGAGTTGTGAGAGCGATGGATCTCTCTGCACTGGGATCTGCATCCCACAAGGCAACCCCGGCGATCCGGTGACAACCAGCGGTGTCCCATACAAGCACCAACCATCCTCAACTGTGCTTAGCTTCTGAGATCGGGCAGATTGTGGTGCTTCGTTTGACGGGCGCGAGGAGGTCGGACCGCCCGTGACTCGCGGCCCGGGTGTGTGGCTACCAGATGAGAGCCGACCGGCTCCGTTCGGCGTTGCGTTTCAATTCGACCGCTCTCCCGTCAACGTGACACTAAAAACAATTCCCAGGCGGTTGAACCCCCATCCAAGTGCTAACCAGGCCCGAAAACTCCTGCTTAGCCTTGCCGAGATCTGCTATCGGGCACATTCATGGCGGCTCGGTCGTAGGGATCGGCTTCCTCGAGCACGCGACACAGACGGACAACCGGGAGAACAAGGAGTCCACGGCTGCGCGGGTCATCCCGCGCGCATCTCATTAAGGGGTCGGCGCTCGCGGTTGATGCAATTAACCCAATTGGAGCGGCGGCGTGGCGAGGGCAGGCGGCCGCTCCGCTGATTGAGTCCTCGCGGTCGTTAAAGGCGCTGACTGATTGGGGCTACAGATGCTGCATCTTACCCCGGGAATGCTCGTTAGGGAGAAGCACTTTGCACGATGAGCGATTAGCGCTTTGGGCACGGGGCGCGCACACGAGACGGGGGGGGGGGGGGGGGGTGGTGGAGGCGGTGGGTGTGGGGGGGCAGCCCTCCACACGTGCGGCTGTGGTGGGCACAGCAGAAAGCTCTCCCCCCCCCCCCCAATTCTGCGAGCGAAAATGAACATTTGACAAACGGCTGAAAGCTGGCTTAGAAAACCGAGGATCTCAGTTTGTTCCAGCCCAGCACGCTGACCTCTGAGCAACCTTTTACCTCTGACCTTTGTGTGAAAATGAACGTTTGACGAACGTCCGATGTCATTTTTCAGCGCTCCGTCGATACCGGTCACATTTTGTCCGCGTTTAGCTACGGCAGGAAACCGGAGAATCCAGAGGAAACCCGTGCAGAACAGGGGGAGAGCGTACCAATGCCATATAGAATAGACACCTGAGTTGGGAATTGAACCCAGGTCTATTTCGCTGTGAGACACGAGTGTTGCGTTGCATCACGCTTAAACTAAACTATTTTTATTTTAACAGGTAAGGCCCACTGAGCTGTACAGTTCTTTTTGAGAAGCGACCTGGTTACAAATGATAGCTCAACGAAGTGGCTTATCGCGTGGAAATGTATAGCAGCAAAATACTCTAAACGCGTGACGTCGATTCTAAATGTGGAGGGAAAAACCGCAGGACCCGGAGAAAAATCCGCGCGACCACGGGGAGAGAGACACGCAAACTCCAAACATACAACAGGTATCAGAGTCGGGATCGAACCCACGACCTCCTGTATACCAGGCGAGGTAGTTAACATCTCGCTACCGTGGCGCCTGATAGCAGGGCGTGCGACTGCGTCTTGGTTTGCGTGCCGCTGCAGCATCACCAGCTGCTACTACTGCTGGTAATGCTGCTGCTGCTACTGCTGTTGCTACTGTTGCTGCTGCTACTACTGTTGCTGCTGCTACTACTGATGCTTGTGATACTGCTACTGTTGCTGCTGCTACTGCTGCTAGTGATGCTGCTGCTGGTCATGCTGCTGCTGTTGCTGCTGCTACTGCTGCTAGTGATGCTGCTACTGCTGCTGTTGGTGCTACTGCTGCTGGTGATGCTGTTGCTACTGCTACTGGTGATGATGCTGCTACTGCTGCTGCTACTCTTGCTACTGTTGCTGCTACTGCTGATAGTGATGCTGCTACTGCTGCTATTGCTGCTACTACTGCTGGTGATGCTGTTGCTGCTGTTGCTGCTGCTACTGTTGCTACTGTTGCTGCTGCGTGTGACTGCGGAGCCGCCCAACGAACGCAGCGCCCGTCTCCCCGTGCCGGCAGGAAGACGATCCAGATCAGGATTGTGGACGACGAGGAGTACGAGAAGAACAAGAGCTTCTTCCTCGAGCTGGGGGAGCCGCGCATGGGGGACGTGAGCGACAAGAAGGGTGAGCCATGGGCCCGTGACACGGGGCACACACACGCACGCGCCGGTACACGCACGCACTGATACCCTTTCTGGCAATAAAACAGGCCCCATATTGTAGCCGCTCAACCAGGGCTATAAATGCCCTCATAGTGGCATTGTCTTGGTACTGTGTGATGGTGGCATTGTCTTGGTACTGTGTGATGGTGGCATTGTCTTGGTACTGTGTGATAGTGGTACTGTGTGATGGTGGCATTGTCTTGGTACTGTGTGATAGCGGCATTGTCTTGGTGCTGTGTGATGGTGGCATTGTCTTGGTACTGTGTGATAGTGGCATTGTCTTGGTACAGTGTGATAGTGGCATTGTCTTGGTACTGTGTGATGGTGGCATTGTCTAGGTACTGTGTGATGGTGGCATTGTCTTGGTACTGTGTGATGGTGGCATTGTCTTGGTACTGTGTGATAGTGGCATTGTCTTGGTACTGTGTGATTCTTGGCATTGTCTTGGTACTGTATGATGGTGGCATTGTCTTGGTACTGTGTGATAGTGGCATTGTCTAGGTACTGTGTGATAGTGGCACTGTCTTGGTGCTGTGTGATAGTGGCATTGTCTAGGTACTGTGTGATAGTGGCATTGTCTTGGTACTGTGTGATAGTGGCATTGTCTTGGTACTGTGTGATAGTGGCATTGTGTTGGTACTGTGTGATAGTGGTACTGTGTGATGGTGGCATTGTCTTGGTGCTGTGTGATAGTGGTACTGTGTGATAGTGGCATTGTCTTGGTACTGTGTGATAGTGGCATTGTCTTGGTACTGTTTGATAGTGGTACTGTGTGATGGTGGCATTGTCCCTGTGCTGTGTGATAGTGGCATTGTCTTGGTACTGTGTGATAGTGGCATTGTCTTGGTACTGTGTGATAGTGGCATTGTCTTGGTGCTGTGTGATAGTGGTATTGTCTTGGTGCTGTGTGATAGTGGCATTGTCTTGGTGCTGTGTGATGGTGGCATTGTCTAGGTACTGTGTGATAGTGGCACTGTCTTGGTGCTGTGTGATAGTGGCATTGTCTAGGTACTGTGTGATAGTGGTACTGTGTGATGGTGACATTGTCTTGGTACTGTGTGATAGCGGCATTGTCTTGGTGCTGTGTGATAGTGGCATTGTCTTGGTACTGTGTGATAGTGGCATTGTCTTGGTACTGTGTGATAGTGGCATTGTCTAGGTACTGTGTGATAGTGGCATTGTCTAGGTACTGTGTGATAGTGGCACTGTCTTGGTGCTGTGTGATAGTGGCATTGTCTAGGTACTGTGTGATAGTGGCACTGTCTTGGTGCTGTGTGATAGTGGTACTGTGTGATGGTGTCATTGTCTTGGTGCTGTGTGATAGTGGTACTGTGTGATAGTGGCATTGTCTTGGTACTGTGTGACAGTGGCATTGTCTTGGTACTGTTTGATAGTGGTACTGTGTGATGGTGGCATTGTCCCTGTGCTGTGTGATAGTGGCATTGTCTTGATACTGTGTGATAGTGGCATTGTCTTGGTACTGTGTGATAGTGGCATTGTCTTGGTACTGTGTGATAGTGGCATTGTCTTGGTGCTGTGTGATAGTGGCATTGTCTTGGTGCTGTGTGATAGTGGCATTGTCTTGGTGCTGTGTGATGGTGGCATTGTCTTGGTGCTGTTCGCTTTTGGCGTCCTCTGGTCTAACACCGTTATGAGACGAGGCTCTTTAGAAAGCTGTCTCTGGCATGGACCAATCAGTCTTCAAAGACAATGCATATATTATCAGAGCATGTTTTTTTTCTTTGCATGTTCACCACAAGCACGTGTGGTTAATGCAAACGGTTTCTGTTCGGTGTTTTAACATCCTAACACCACCTGTTTTATTGCCAGACAGGATAAAACCTCTTCTTAAATGTTGATAAAGACAAAGACACACACACGCACACCACTACGCTATGCACCGGTACGCACTGGTACGCACACACCGATACGCACACGCACCGGGACACATATCGGTACACACACACCAGTACGTACGCACACCGGTACGCACATACCAATACACACACACCACTACACAAACACCACTACGCACGCACACCACTACGCACGCACACCACTACGCACGCACCGGTACGCACACACACCGGGACACACATACCGGGGCACGCACACTGCTACACACACACACCACTACGCACGCACCGGTACGCACACACACCAGTACGTACGCACCGGGACACACGCACTGGTACGCACACGCACTGGGACACACATACCGGGGCACGCACACTGGTACACACACACACCACTACGCATGCACACACCGTTACGCACACATACCGGTACACACACACACCAGTACGTACGCACACACCGGTATGCACACACCAATACGCACACAGCGATACGCACACACACCAGTACGTACGCACACACCGGTACGCACACACCAATACGCACACAGCGATACGCACACACACCAGTACGTACGCACACACCGGTACGCACACACCAATACGCACACAGCGATACACACACACACCAGTACGTACGCACCAGTACGTACGCACCGGGTCGCACGCACAATCCGCACGATCCGCGGTCACAAACCAACCGCTGGGCGGCCACCGCAGTCGTGGGGGGGGGGGGGGGTGCCGGTGACGACGCGGTGGTGTCGCGACACCGCAAGGGCCCAGAGAGCGGTGATCGATGCATCGCGATGGACCGGCCGCACCGCCTCCAAAGAGAACCGATTTATCGTTCCCCATCTCCGGGCTTGTTTCTGGAAATAATAAACCAGCCGGGGCACAGAGCAAACAGATCAATGGACGCGAAGCCTCCGAGATGAATGGCGGACGCGCGGTCCGTCAGTCCGTCATTGAGATCGCTGCTCCCCGCGGAGAAACGCTTCAAATTAAGGTTTTGTTCAAAGTGCTTTCGGTAATTTATCTCTCTCCCACCTGGGGTCGCTTTCCTGTTTGTGCGTCTCATTCTCGAGCGCGTACGCGTACGTGATGGTGTGTGTGTGTGATGGTGTGTGAGTGTGTGTGTGATGGTGTGTGTGAGTGTGTGTGTGATGGTGTGTGTGTGTGTGATGGTGTGTGATGGTGTGTGAGTGTGTGTGATGGTGTGTGTGTGTGATGGTGTGTGTGTGATGGTGTGTGAGTGTGTGTGTGATGGTGTGTATGTGTGATGGTGTGTGTGTGTGTGATGGTGTGTGTGTGATGGTGTGTGTGTGATGGTGTGTGATGGTGAGTGATGGTGTGTGTGTGATGGTGTGTGAGTGTGTGTGAGTGTGTGATGGTGTGTGTGTGATGGTGTGTGTGTGTGATGGTGTGTGATGGTGTGTGATGGTGTGTGAGTGTGTGATGGTGTGTGAGTGATGGTGTGTGAGTGATGGTGTGTGAGTACGTGATGGTGTGTGAGTACGTGATGGTGTGTGAGTGTGTGTGATGGTGTGTGAGTGATGGTGTGTGAGTACATGATGGTGTGTGAGTGTGCGTGATGGTGTGTGAGTGTGCGTGATGGTGTGTGAGTACGTGATGGTGTGTGAGTACGTGATGGTGTGTGAGTACGTGATGGTGTGTGAGTGTGTGTGCGTGATGGTGTGTGATTACGTGATGGTGTGTGAGTACGTGATGGTGTGTGTGTGTGATGGTGTGTGAGTACGTGTGCGTGATGGTGTGTGAGTGCGTGATGGTGTGTGCGTACGCGTGCGTGATGGTGTGTGCGTACGTGTGCGTGTTGGTGTGTACGTGTGCGTGATGGTGTGTGAGTACGTGTGCGTGATGGTGTGTGAGTTCGTGTGCGTGATGGTGTGTGAGTACGTGTGCGTGATGGTGTGTACGCGTGCGTGATGGTGTGTGAGTACGCGTGCGTGATGGTGTGTGAGTGTGCGTGATGGTGTGTGATGGTGTGTGCGTACGCGTGCGTGATGGTGTGTATGTGTGCGTGATGGTGTGTGTGTGTGCGTGATGGTGTGTGTGTGTGATGGTATGTGCGTATGTGTGTGATGGTGTGTGTGTGTGATGGTGTGTGTGATGGTGTGTGTGTGATGGTGTGTATGTGTGCGTGATGGTGTGTGTGGGGAACCGTAGTGCGGTGGTTGGTGGTTACCGCGCTGCGCTACGAACCCGGCCACCCGAGTTCGATTCCTACTCACGGCCGACACCAGTGACGATTGTCTAACCTGGTCCTGTGCCTCCCCTAGGACGACTTAGCCTCAAATGAGTCCCTGGTGCGAGGCAAATATTGAGCCAAAGACGGCTGGGTGTGGAGTTGACCACACCATCCCATCGTGTGTCCTGGCAGCCTTCATAGGTGCTCCTCGCTAACAGCACTTGCGCCAATAGTTTAGTTTCTGATTCTTTCCCCGCACCTCCAATTAGCACGGTTGGTTAAATACGATACTAAGGAAGTTCAACATACATACAAGAGTCTGCTAAGGTTCTAGGGGGGGATATTTGTCTTGTGTGTATTGTTGACGTGAGTGTCCCCATTTGGGAGTGCGTGTCTGTGTGTCTGCGTGACTGCGTGTCTGTGTGACTGCGTGTCCGTATGATCAACTGCTGCTCTGACGTTCTCTCCCTTGTTTAATCGACGTCTGCTGATTTCCCATCGTTCTCTCTCTTTAACCTTGACTGACGCTCCTCACTCTCCCGTCTCCTCGCCCCTCCTCACTCCTCACTCCTCCCTGCAGCTGCTCTCCTGTGGTGTGAGCACGGTGAGTTCCTCGCGTCCTGTCCGCTTTCCTCCGCGTCGCGTTGCGCAGGTGTTTCCGTCAGGTCGCCGTGATCCCCGTGTGACGTTCTCGCGACTACGCCGCCACAGCCAATTCCCGTGATCGCATCGCCCCGGAACTCGCCGGAATGCTTGCGCCCGATCTCGTCAGATATCCGCGCAAGCTAAGCGGTGGTTTCAGCCTGGATAGCGCTTGCGTTGGGCTAGTCCCGTGCGTTACAGGTGTTGTAAGCTGCGGGGCGGTGCACGATGCTGCAAAATCAAATCTTGTACACTTACTGTGTTTATATCCTCTCGTGCTTGGGCTCACCGCCTTCGCTCGCCCGTACTCACCGGCGTGGTGAAGTATGGTCAAATAACCTTCCAAACCCGCACTGTGTGGGGATGCTCTCATCCAGCAGTGGAGTGACATAGGGCCCGATCCACGCACGCTTGTACCTGTACCATAATATTAACACTCATGGGAAATTCCACATTTGTAGACTGGGGGCCTTTCTCTCCGTAGAATGACCACTGTTGGCTACCCACAAAGTGGTATAAATTTGATCTACCATGGTAGAGATGATAGGCTGAGCTCTCAAACTATTTACATTTAGTGCTGGGATTTTATGGCCAAGTTTTGGGATCCGTTTGTCCATGCCAAATCCTTAACAGCAATCTGACTTGGACCAAAATTCATTCCAATTTGACCTTGGCAGAATGATCATGAACTCCCCAATTGCAGCCAGACAGGGCTACTGCATGGACACTTTCCACTTTAGTTGGACAGTGTAAAGAAAAAAATGACACCACCAACAGCACCAGACTTCCCACAAAGACAGCAAACCCGTTCACTTCATCCACAGTCCAAAGTACGTCTTCCTTGTGAGATGTAGACTTTGGGTAAACCTTAATGGTTTATAACAATAACTAGATTTTCAGCCCTTTGTCAATCCACTGCTGTTTGAAGGCCTCCGCACGCCGTGTTGGATGTTGGGATTACTTAAATATACTTCACCGGACTGGTCAGTGCGGGTTGGCTGCGAGCGTAACGGTAACCGCATGCCTCTATCGATCCCCCGTCCGTCGTCATCTTCGTCATCGTCGTCGCCCCTCGTTGTTTGACGAGCGCGTTGCCGTGCCCCGCAGCAGATGGCCTCTCGGCTGAGGAGTCGGAGGCCCGGAGAGTGGCGGCGCTCGGGAAGCCCGGCCTGGGAGAGCACCGCAGGCTGGAGATCATCATCGAGGAGTCGTACGAGTTCAAGGTGACGAGGCCGTCCCTGCAGACTCCTGCCCACCCGATCACTCGCTAGCCCGCCCACCCGCCCGCTCACTCGCCACTGCACCCAGTCACCCATCTGCCCGCTCACTTTTGCCCAGCCGGACACCTGCTCGCCCGTCCCGCCTGCCCACCTAGTCCCCCACCCGCCAAGTCACATGTCGGCCCACTCACTTGCCCGTGCGCCTGCTCACCCTCCCGACCGCTCACCCGCACGCTCACCCGCACGCACACCTGCCCGCTTGCCCGCTCATCAGTCAACCCGGTCACCCACCTGCCCACTCACCCATGCAACAGGCCACCCGCCTGCCCAGTCGCCCACCGACCCAATCGCCCAATCACCCCCCTGCCTGCTCATCCACCTGGCTGACCACGCAGACATCTGGGCAGCCGCCTGGTCTCCGCTCCCCCCCCCACCCCCCACCGGCCTTCGAATGTTTTGTAAAAATCTGGATTTTTTGGCCGGTTTAAAGGTTTCTGGCCTCATGCTCGACTCATGACGTGGGGAAGGGCGGAACGACCTGCACAGTCAGCAGGGCCTGCGAGTAGTGAGGCCCACGTGAGACAGGGAGAGGAGGCCGCTCACGGCATAGGTGAGGCTGGTGATCGAGTGGGTTGTGGCTAATTTGAGGGGGGAGGCTGCCAGCTCACCATGTACCCTGGTTGAGCCTCTCAGAAATGTGTAAACCATAGCCTGGCCAGCAATCATCAGCGGTGCAGGGGATTCCGTGGCCTACTAGCTACTGATGGCCCAAGCATCCAGGCCCAGGCCCCAACCCCTCCGGCCTCCATTGCCCTGTGTCGTCATAACCCAGAGCGGACAGCCGGAGCTTCTATGGCCGTGAAATCAAGGTGAGGTTTCGGCCGCTGGAGTGGAGGGTTCTGTTATGCCAATCACTTTCATTTGTAAAGCGACAGTAGATTGGCAATTAAGCAAACAAATGATGTAATGAAAATGTAAAAGTGAACTATGGAACGCGTGGAAGTGTCGTGGATTGTAAGTCGTACTCTTCTATCGGCAGAGCGATAGGGTGCATGCTTATGTTGAAAACGGAAGCGTGGTTCCGACTCGCTGCTACATTCCCGCGGTAAGATCCCTGACACCGTGAACCGGGCAACACAAGGGCAGCACGGGGGGCAGTGCGCTGAGTCGGCGCGCACACCGGCACACACCAGCACCGTGCGAAGGCTCCGCCAGCCTGGGGAGAGGTCTGCCAGGGTGCAACATCGTGACACGCGGGACAAGGGACAGAGAGATACTGGAAAGTAGACGTGGGGCAGATTTGTGAGAGGGAGATGGGACAAATGCATGGAAACAGAGATGGGACGGAGACACGGAGCAGGGAAATGGGACAGGCAAAGGACAAACGCATGGACACGCATTGGACAGAGACATGAACGTAGATGTGGGGCAGAGACACAGAACAGAGACAAAGACCTACAGTTCATGTTGAACAGACGGTGAAACAGGCTGCCACCACTGAGGCCTGGCACCCCCTGGTTAGGCTGAAGCCCGCCTGCCCCTGCTGCCCACCCCCCCCCGTATGCTACCCCCCTACCCCCCTCTCTCTCCTCATGCTCAGAGCACGGTGGACCGGCTAATCAAGAAGACGAACCTGGCGCTGGTGGTGGGGACGCACTCGTGGCGAGAGCAGTTTGTGGAGGCCGTCACCGTGGGCTCCGGTGAGGGACCGGCACAGCACGGCTCGGCAAACACAATGAACAACACGCGGTGAACAACACACAATGAACAACACACAATGAACAACACACAATGAACAACACGTGGTGAACAACACACGGTGAACAACAACATGCGGTGAACAACACACAATGAACAACACGTGGTGAACAACACACGGTGAACAACAACATGCGGTGAACAACACACAATGAACAACACACAATGAACAACACGTGGTGAACAACACACAATGAACAACACGCGGTGAACAACACACAATGAACAACACACAATGAACAACACGCGGTGAACAACACACAATGAACAACACACAATGAACAACACGCGGTGAACAACACACAATGAACAACACACAATGAACAACACGCGGTGAACAACAACATGCGGTGAACAACACACAATGAACAACACACAATGAACAACACGTGGTGAACAACACACAATGAACAACACACGGTGAACAACAACATGCGGTGAACAACACACAATGAACAACACGCGGTGAACAACACACAATGAACAACACACAATGAACAACACGTGGTGAACAACACACAATGAACAACACACGGTGAACAACAACATGCGGTGAACAACACGCACACAACGAGGACGCGATTCGCCCCGGGAACGTGACACAGGCGTTGTTTTCCCGAGTGAGCACGGCAACCGAGCGCTACGCGAATTCCTTTAACGGCAACGTGAATGAGAACGACGACTTAGAAGAGTGTCAAGGAAGTTGAACTATCGAAGGGAACCAGGACAGAACGAGGACGTCGTCGGATGGTGTCAGTCGCGACACGGAGTCGCGTGTGACTACGCTGTGGTGTTGTAAACGCAGTCTGATAATGGATAAATATCCGTCTCCGAGGTATTTATCTGTCTAAATGACGAAACATTGTGTCACTGCGAACGAGAACAGCCTGTAAACTCACGTTACGCTTCGCTGTGAACTGAACCGCAGCTACATTTGTTGTTGCAAACCCCCCCCCCCCCCCACAACGAATGAACGATTACGAAGTTGAAATCGCGCTGCGTAACGATGAAGACGCGGATGCTCGCGTGTCCTCGCTCGACGCGAACCTGACGGGCGCCCCGACGTACGACGCGAGGGCACGACACGGACATGCGACGGACACGCGCGCGCGCGCGTGCGACGACGGCGCGGCTAACGAGAGCGGGGGAGCCGCTCGACGCGCTCTAATTGACCCGTCCGTAACGAGCCGCGGACGCTTCGGCCTGCACGGCCCGCCCGGGGGCCCTGTCCGCCCAGGCTCGAGGTCGATCGCTCGATTCGCGGAGTGAAATTAACGGAACGGCGCGAGCGGCGGCGGCGGCGGCGGCGGAGTTCGCGAGCGGTTGCGACGTGAGGGTCCGTCGCCATGGCGACCAGGGGGGCCTGCATTAATCTCTAAGTGGCAGCGCAGTTTTGGGACGGGGGTAGGGGAGGGGGGAAATATTGGGGTCACGTTTTGTGGACGCCGCGGAAATTAAGTGGCATAAAACTCACTGCGTTCACCCGGGGGCCAAAGATCTGTCATTAAAAACTGTTTGCCGCCTGGGGAAGAGAAAAAATATTACATTTTGGGAGCCGACCGCCCAATGGGGGGGGGGGGGGGGGGGGGGGGAGAGGCCTGTGATTATCGAGGCTGCTTCGCCGCATGCCTTTTCATTACTCTACACTCACCCGCTCGCCCTTAAACTCTGGTCCTCCTCCCGCGCCACGGGAACTCACACCGCCACAGCCTCTGAGCTGGTCCACCCTAATCCCACGTTCCCCCACCCTACGCCATTTTACTGCATGACCCGTCACCCACGGCCTTCACCTCACATCCCCTAACCCCGCCACCTTGTGCTTTCTCCACTCCATAACCCATAACCCCTGACCCCATGCCCTCTCACTCCATGGCACTCTCGCCTCAGTGCCCTTAACCACCACAACACAACACACCCACCTCTAACCGACACCGTGACCCATCCACGTCCCCTAACATCGCGACCTGACCCAATGGCCCCTAACCCCACGACCTTTCACCTCGCACCCTCTGCGCCGCCCCCGGACTCTGTGCCATCTCGCCATTCGCTCCGACTCTGTGACCTTTGCGACCCGATCGCCCCGCGCCCCATCCACCCAACCTGCACCTCTGCACCCCCTCCCCCCGTCCGCCCCCCCCCCGGCCACGCCGCAGGTGACGACGATGACGACGACGGTGGCGGCGGTGAGGAGCGCATGCCGTCGTGCTGCGACTACATCATGCACTTCCTCACGGTCTTCTGGAAGGTGCTGTTCGCGTGCGTGCCGCCCACCGAGTACTGGAACGGCTGGGCCTGCTTCGTCGTCTCCATCTCCGTCATCGGCGTCCTCACCGCCGTCATCGGCGACCTCGCCTCGCACTTCGGCTGCACCGTGGGGCTCAAGGACTCGGTGAACGCCGTCGTGTTCGTGGCGCTCGGCACCTCCGTGCCAGGTGAGAGCGGGCGGTGAGGCGCGGGTGAGGTGCGGGCGAGGTGCGGCTGAACTGGAGGTGTTGCAGGGATGGTGAGTGAGGTGCAGGTGAGGGGGATGAGGTGCAGGTGAGATGGGTTAGTACAGGTAACACAGATGAGTCCCTCAGACAGGTGAGTGTGTGACAGGCCAGTCTGTGTCACAGGGGAGACGGGTGAGCCAGCCAACCTGCCGGCCAGCCTTCGCGAGCTCCGCTAGAGACGGCGTTTGCTCTTCTTGCCCACAGCCGGCGGCGACGGCCGCGAGCCAGGGAGCGACACGAGACGAATCGTCGACGGATGATTGAGCGGAGCATCAAAATAGCCTGAACCCAACGCGCAAACGAAATGACTCCGCAGCTGCTACGTCTCAACTAGAGTGAAATATACACAGCCGGTTTCTTTTGTAAGATTAATCAGGCCCGGCTCTTTAATATTCAGCGCACGCCCACTGCAGGGCCACCGCCGCTCGAGTGCCGGAATGGGCCCCGGCAGGACAAGGCAGGCCGAGGGTCTCCTCCGGGTGGTAATTGCCACCCCATGCCACCCGCAAGGGGAGGCATAGCGCTACTGCACGGGTAATTGTCGTCACGGTCAGGAGAGACACTTCCAAATAATTACATTCAACAAATTCGTATTTGCGTCCGCACGCTTAATCCGACTCTGGGGGGGGGGGGAGTGAGAGGTCGCGGGTCAAATATTGGACGTAAGCCACGGCTCTGGATCCCTTCTCGCTGTGCTCTGCGATCCCACGAAGCGGTGGACGGTAAAGGCCGTAGCCCCAAAATAACCGCTCGCTCGCTCGCTCGCACCGCACTGCCGCCGACAAGAGATGCCTGGCTCGACGGAGCTCTCGACGGCCCCGCTAGAGACGGTGTTTGCTCTCCTCCTCCATGCTCGCCAGACGTCGTAAAAGACGTGCAAGTACCCACACGTTGCCCCCACCACTCCGAGACCCGCCGATCGACCGACCGCGGTTGTGTACCCACTTACGCGGCGAGGGGGGATTGCAAGTCCGGCGTGCTGACCTTTACACCCCCAGGAGCATCCCCACAATGCTATGAGATGACTCTGTAAAACGGTAGCACAAAGTAACAGACGGCTGTTATCTTCGTACGGAGCCAGGCCGCGTACCACGGCCTATAAAACGTGAGTATCCAAGTACGTTCATCAGATAGAGAGTAATCATACCCTTTGTATGTTTGTTGAACTTGTTTCACACCGTATGTAGCCAACCATACTAATCGGAGGTGTGGGTGGAAGGATAACTGAGCACAAAAAGCAGTTCTAAAGAAATGGGTTTTCAATCTAGATGATTTAAAAGTGCATAGCTCAGGTGGCTTCCTTTAGAGTCGTTACACACGACTGTGATAGAGGGAGGTCACCTTGTTGGGTACGGTGAGGCTGTGGAGGGTGAGGTGAGGCTGTGAGGGTTCGGTGAGGGTGTGAGGGTACGGTGAGGCTGTGAGGGTGAGGTGAGGCTGTGAGGGTACGGTGAGGCTGTGAGGGTACGGTGAGGGTGTGAGGGTACGGTGAGGCTGTGAGTGTACGGTGAGGCTGTGAAGGTGAGGTGAGGCTGTGAGGGTACGGTGAGGCTGTGAAGGTGAGGTGAGGCTGTGAGGGTGAGGTGAGGCTGTGAGGGTACGGTGAGGCTGTGATGGTACGTGAGGCTGTGAGGGGACGTGAGGCTGTGAGGGTGAGGTGAGGCTGTTTGGCATCTGGCGCGCCACAATCGCGTCATGCTTCTTGTGACAGACGTCCGCGTGTGTTGTGTGTGTGTTATGTGTGTGTTTGCTGTGTGTGTGTGTGCTTGTTGTGTGTGTGTGTGTGCTGTGTGTGTGTGTGCTTGTTGTGTGTGTGTGCTTGTTGTGTGTGGTGTGTGTGCTTGTTGTGTGTGTGCTGTGTGTTGTGTGTGTGTGCTTGTTGTGTGTGCTTGTTGTGTGTGTGCTTGTTGTGTGTGTTTGTGCTTGTTGTGTGTGTTGTGTGTGTGCTTGTTGTGTGTGTGTGGTGTGTGTGTGCTTGTTGTGTGTGTGCTTGTTGTGTGTGTTGTGTGTGTTTGTGTGCTTGTTGTGTGTGTGTGTGCTTGTTGTGTGTGTGTGTGGTGTGTGTGTGCTTGTTGTGTGTGTGTGCTTGTTGTGTGTGTGTTTGTTGTGTGTGTGTGCTTGTTGTGTGTGTGTGTGCTTGTTGTGTGTGTGTTGTGTGTGTGTGTGGTGTGTGTGTGCTTGTTGTGTGTGTGTGCTTGTCGCGTGGTTGCATTCCTCCCACCCGTGTCCCGCCGCTGTCTCCCGTCCGACATCGCCGGCTCTCGCTCCTGCCGACAGACACGTTCGCCAGCAAGGTGGCGGCCGTGCAGGACCAGTACGCGGATGCTTCCATCGGCAACGTGACCGGCAGCAACGCAGTGAACGTGTTCCTGGGCATCGGCATTGCGTGGTCCATCGCCGCTATCTACTGGTGAGCGGGCGGAACTCTCGCACACTGGCTGGGCCGCTAGGGACGGGGAGTGCCTGCCTTCGCTCCTTTTCCACTGGCTCATCCATGCCACGCCAGGTCAAAGCCCTCACAGTGCATTTGATTTTTCCACTGGCTATTCGCCGAGCTGAGCCAGAACCAAACCGTGCCTTTTTAAGGCGCCGCGGTGGAGAGATGTTATCTCCCTCGCCTGGTATACAGGAGGTCATGGATTCGATCCCGACCCTGACGCTGGCTCTATATTTGGAGTTTGCATGTCCTCTCTGTCCGTGGTCACATGGATTTTTGTCCGGGTCCTCCGGTTTTTCCTTCCACGTTTAAGACTCAACGTGCGGTTAGAGTTTTTGGCTGCTATAAATTTCCACGTGATAAGCCACTTTTTCGAGCAGGTCGCTTCTGAAAAAGAGGGCCTTACCTGGTAAAGTAAAAAATAGATTAGTTTACTATACAGTACTCCTTTTCCACTGGCTCATCCAGGCCACACCAGGTCAAGGGCTTCACTCATAGTGCATGTGGTTTTTCCACTGCCTATTTGCCGAGCTGAGCTGGAACCGAACCGTGATACGCTGGCTTCACGAGACGTCCGAATCTGTACCTTTTTCCCAGATCGATGCTTGTCATTTTCGTTGTGCATCGGCACACCAACGAGGGCCTCTTATCTATCCGTGGCGTACTCGTAGAGCTGGGCTTACCCTGGAACTAAAGATGACACCACGGGCCACACAGGGGTCATCGAGGACACTGCACGCCCTGAGGGCTATCGCTTTGCGTAAGATATCACCCGTGTTCTCAAACCACACGGCAAAAAATAACTCAAATATTTCTTATGTACGGATTTTGAACTTCTTTGGCACTTTACATAGCCAACCGTGCTAATCAGAGACGCGGATTAGCACGGTTGGCTAATTTTGACTTCAAATAAACAAACTTATATCTTGATTGCATTCAACTTCATCAAGAGTAATATAGTTTTTCGCTTATTGTCCGCCACTTCATGGCCACAGGGGGTAGATGGAGGGGGCGGGTAGGACCCTAATTTGCGAATCGGAACCCAGGGAGTGGGAACGATCTCCGCCCGTGAGCGACGTAAACGTGGCGCTGCCGTGCCGCGTCTCTCTCTCTCCATCCACGCGGCTGCGCAGGTGGACAAAGGACGAGCCGTTCCGCGTGCAGGCCGGCACGCTGGCCTTCTCCGTCACCCTCTTCACCATCTTCGCCTTCATCTCGGTCGCCGTGCTCATGCTGCGCCGCCGCCCATCCATCGGCGGGGAGCTGGGCGGCCCGCGCCGCCAGAAGCTGCTCACGTGCGCGCTCTTTGTGCTCCTCTGGCTCATCTACATCCTCTTCTCGGGCCTCGAGGCCTACTGCCACATCCCCGGCTTCTAGACGCGCTGGCGCTCAGGCGTCTGTCGCTCGGCGCGCGGCGGCGCGGTGGTGGGGTAGGTGGTGTTGTGGGTGTTGCGGCGGTGGGGCTGCTGCCACCGTCGTTCACCGACGACGTCGCCGCCATCGTCGTAGTTGTTTCGTCCGTTTGGAAACTCTGAGGCCTTGCGTTGCTGAGGACTTCTGAGAGCGCAATAAGGAAATGTTAAAGTTCGAGTGCGGTGAGCTAGAATGGCTCGTGTCACGCTGCTGCTGCTGCTGCCCTGCACACGCCGCAGTTGCGGGTCTCAGGTGGAGCTGACCACGCTGGCGGTGGTGATGGCGGTGGTGAGAGCATACACTTGAGTGGTGTCTCACTGACATGGCACCCGTGGCTGTGGCTCGCGAATTGCGGCCGATGGACGATAATTATCGGCCGACTTGGAGGTCGGGCGGCTCTCAGCGGGCCAAGTCCCCGCGGATTTCTTGGCGAGAGATTCTGCGATGCCCCGGCGAGTGTTAACGTCACAGCTGACGGAACCTCGTGGGCTCAGCGTGGTTTATTCTCGCAGCTGATCCACAAGTCATTTGAAGTCGAGTTTGCCGTGTCTGGGTGCCAGTGCACAGATCTCCCAGGGCGGTGAGTGCCGCCATCGAGGCACTCTGCTCATTAAGGACGTTGTTTCTAACCCCCGCGATGTTCCAGCCTTCACTGACTGCACTCCCGCAAAGCCCGATGTGTGAAGGATGCACGGACGCACACGTGGCCTTGTCAGCCCGGTGGCTTCAGGGCGCTGCTATGCCACTTGCAGCCATCGAACTGTCCACGCATCCTCCTCTGCCACCAACTGCCCGGCTTTGCCACCCACTCCCCAACTTTGTTACCTACTGCCCCACTCAGTCACCCAATACCACCTTTACTACCACCCACTGCCCCACACCACTACCCATCGTCCCACCCTATCGCCCTCTGCGAAAGCCTACCACCGATTGCTGCTAGACCCCCACCCCCGTCATCCCGTCACTCTTCGCTGCCAAGTTTGTTCTCAGCCTGGTGCTTTATGTCGGCAGCATGGGCCATCAGTTCTCTAACCAAAAACAAATGAAAGAAAAAAAAGATCTATGCTCGATGTCTGCGACTGCACTTAATGAAAAACAAATAGTCTCCCGCGTGCGGAGCCGCCTGCCACCACGGTCCGCTGTGTCGTGTCGTTTCGCGGTGATTTGTGAGCGTGAAAACCCTTTGTCGGTTGCCTTGGTGCGCGACGTTAGTGAGACGCTTCCATCCTGCGTCGCTCGTAAAATCTCCTCGTCCCTAGCGATGTCGGCGTTTAATTGGATCGCGCTTCGACGATGCGTGGGGCCTGCGTGCGGCCAATTGCAGTTGACCTCACCGGCCCCGTCGGGGTGAAGACGACGCCGCTTCATCGTGGCGTTGCTTTCAAAGCGATCTCACGCGAGCATTGAGGCTGCGTGCTCATCTCCGGTTGACAGGCTTGCAGCACCAGCGGTGGAAATACCACACATTTTAAACATTGGAGGGAAGTGGGGAGTCTATCCATGGGGCAAGCACTGGTGACTTCTCGACAGAGTCACCTGAACGGATAATTACTCTCATTTATACCCTCGGATGGAGATCGTTTTAGCCATGGGTAGCGTCGTTCCCGTAGGTAGGTAGTGGGGCACGCACCTGCTGTGCGTGTGACAGCGCATAGAGCCGAGCAACGTCTGAAGTACGTTTTACAGAGCCTTATTAAAACGTTAATTTATTTAAATTATGTAACGTTGAATGCGATTTATAAACCCATCATCGTCTTGGGCCAGTGGTCCTTTTGTTTATTCAAAGTGTCTATCAACGTGTGTGTGTGTGGGGTTTTTTTGTGTTTAGGCGTAAAATCCGAATCTGCTCTGTCGTGTTGAAGAATATGTACCGGTACCTACATTGGAACCCCACGTGATCTGTGACTTTGTTTTGTTCGCAAGCCGGCAATTTAACAGCGGAGATTCATTACCACCTAAGCTATGGAACGCCTTGCCACTTGAAATCAGGCAATCGGAGTCGGTAGGTATATTTAAGCCTGCTTTAAAAACCCATCTCTTTAAAGTGGCCTTCCATCTCTCGGTTGATCGTTTGGCCCTGGTTCTGTTTTTGTTTCCTGCGTCCCATGCATTGCACATTGGGATCCTAGGATGGAATGCGCATTATACATTTGATTTATTATTAGTATTACTCTGGACGTCAATCAGGTGACTGAACCGGCTTGCATTGTAGCCGATGTGACGATGCCTGCGATGATGGCGGCGGCGGCGGAGGCGATGATGGTGGTGGTGGTAGCGTTAGCGGCTGGAACGACGACGCCTCTGTTAGCAGTCATCGTGACTGAAGGTGGTGGTGGTGGTGATTCAGCAACAATCGTCACGAATCGTTCCGCGCCCACGACTTGCTTCCGCGACGAGCTGGCATCCAATCCCCCCTTCGTGTGTTCGCGCACAGAAGAAGAGCGACGTCGTGGCGATACGGCGCCCTCCCCCAACGTTTGCACGGCATTTGGCAGGAGAGCGGCCCCCGTGGACTAAAGACTGAAAAAAAATTACCCCTCTCGGCTTCACGCCCTGGGCATCTCAACAATGCTGATGGCACGCGAAGCGGATCGCACGCGAAGCGGGGCGTCTCGCGGTATTTCGCCGTGATGGATGTCCCCGTGGCCGCGGTGGACTTTTTTTCTAATTCCAATTCGCAGCCAGAACCGCGCCCGTCGGGGGATTCCGTGCCGTGCCCCGCGCTGTCTGTCCGCACCGCATGCCCCGCTGGGAGGAGGTGGTCGCATCTGCACGCCAGTGCTGAACACCCACGCGCTTGACAGCAGGGCAGGCGTTCACTTCGCACGGTATTTGGTAATTCGTCAACTGGGTGGGGGGGGGGGGGGCAGTGCCGGATGAAGCCAGTGCGGAGCCTGTAGCATGATGTTATAAAGGGGCCCTAAATTTGAAAAAAATATATAAAAACACAAATGTTTAACTTGCATAGTAAAGTAATTGTATTTTTTAATTTGCTATACAGCCAGATAATACGACAAATCGTTAATCTTAAACACCCAGTTATTTATAAAAGTTGAAGGCGGTATAATACTATAGTAATAGAGCAAGTGCAGAATCACTGAACCGAAATTGATAGCTTGGAGGCATTTAGCGCGGGGCCCTTGAAAGTGCGGGGCCCGTAGCCACTGCGTGTGTAGTAGTAGCAGCTACTACTACACACGTAGCCACTACGTGTAGAGTAGTAGTAGCTACTACTACTCTACACGTAGCCACTATGTAGTAGTAGCTACTACTACACACGTAGTGGCTACGTGTAGTAGTAGTAGCTACTTTTGCAACGAGGAGAATCCGGCACCTGGGCCGGAATCATCCCGGGCAGCCGGCGTGGCCACCAGGCGGCGGTGTTTGAGCAAACTCGTTCCGGTTGTGAACCACAGGAATTGGCGGGCGGGTCGTGATCGCCTCGTGTCCTTCCTCCGGATTTCGTTCCCACATGCGAGAACACATTCCTTAATAGCAAATTTTTTGTAGAAACAAAAAACATTACAACATTCCTTGCCCAAACATCCCAATGCAGAAAGCTTTCTGGTTTCCTGAGACCCAGTGATTATTTCCTTCAAAAAACATCGCTATAACATTATTCATGTTGTGCAACAATTACTCCAATGTGTTTGTAGGCCTCACGGGCACAGGTGGGTGTCGAGTCAAATGCTGGCGTTCTAATGTCCAATTTTGTCCCGGAGAAGACCACGAGGTTGTGCTTAATGTCTTGTGTTTAATGCGTTGTGTGTCGCTGCACGTGAGGGCGCCCGGTGGCTGTAGTCCCACGACGTTTTATGGCTCGCCGGTTTAACTGCAGCGGGCAGGTGACCAGTAGCGGTGGCCACGGTTCTAGTGGTAGGTGTACTGGACGTGGTGTGCCGGGTGCAGGCATTTTCCCGGGTCGCCAAGCCAACTAGGCTTGGCTGGAATTAATCCCAGGCCATGCGTGTGTGCGTGGCACTCTATACGTGGTGCCCTATACGTGGTACAATATAGGGGTATCCTATACGTGGTACAATATAGGGGTATCCTATACGTGGTACAATATAGGGGTATCCTATACGTGGTACAATATAGGGGTATCCTATACGTGGTACAATATAGGGGTATCCTATTCGTGGTACAATATAGGGGTACCCTATATGTGGTACAATATAGGGGTATCCTATACGTGGTACAATATAGGGGTATCCTATACGTGGTACAATATAGGTGTATCCTATACGTGGTGCCCTATAGTGGGACCATGTGCGCCCGCTTAGAGATCCCTCTCAGAGAGCGAGTGTAGCGGTAGTGCAGCGGTTAGCGCGCTGCGCTACGGACCCGGCATTTCAGCCGTTCCTGGGCCTCCCCTGTGTCGACTCGGCCTCACTTGAGTACCTGGTGCGATGTGAACATCGCCACTTGGGATACAAAGGCGGTCAGGCGTGGTGCTGGCCACCCACCCTCTCGTGTACCGTTCCGGCCTTCATAGGTGCTCTCTAACAGCACTTGCCCCTACAATCTGTTACAGGCTATACGGTGTGGGGGGGGGGGGAGTCTTTGTCTATATGCCCGCTCGAGCGCTACGTGAAATCAAAGCGTCGTCCCGAACAATAACAACAATAACAACAAACGAACAATTAAAATAATTTTCTAGAAACGCTAAAATCTTGCAACGTTAAAGGCGGTAGGGCGAAGTTGCATCGCGCGTTCTGGGGAAGTTTTTGTGGCTGCACGCTGCCGTTCGGCAGGCTCCGAGCGATGAGCGATGAGAGCTTTCGTCGGCGGCTTCCTCTGTGGAATCGGGCATCGATCTTGGGTGGGGGAGTTGCGAAACCGCATCGGGAGGGGGCCCAGACGCTCGTCGCACGTGTCTCGTAGTGTGTGCGTGTTGTTGTTTACTGTCGAAGCCAATGGACGTGGCTCATTCGCGGCTGCTGAACCCACGTGGGGAGGGTTACACAGGCGAAGATGTTAAATTTTCACTTGAATTTAATGTGCAAGGCGGTCGGTCGTGTGTTGGTCGTGGTTTTTTTGTCTATTGGAGTCTGTTTACAGTTACCATTGTGAAGACGTTCGTTTAACATGCAAGACGCATATCTCCCTCTATATATACAAATATGCGATTTTAAATTGAAAAACGGTGTGCTGTGTAACACATCATATTATATACGTATTTATTTATAAATTATGCAAATATATGTAAATGTTACTATGTGTGTGTAAATATATGGAGCAGTGGCATTAGAGTGGGTGGCACGTGGCCCAGTGCAAGGAATACAATTGAGCTCTCCATCCACACGCTGGCTCCGCGGTGGTGAGATGTTAACTACCTCGCCTGGTATTCATGAGGTAGTGGGTTCGATCCTGACCCTGGGCCTGACGCTCGTATCATTGGAGTTTGCATATCTCTCTCTCTCCCCGCGGTCGAGTGGATTTTTTTCCGGGTCCTGCGGTTGCCTCCCTCACATTTAGAAACACGCGTTTAGAGTATTTGACTGCTATAAACGTCCACACGATGAGCCACTCCGTTGAGCTATCATTTGTGGCCAGGTCGCTTCTGATAAAGAGCTACGTAGCTATATAGAGCTCGGTCGGCATTACCTGGTAAAATAAAAAAGTCTAATTGTTTTAGTTTAGTAATTTGACCCTATTTGTTGCTCAGCCCCTGGACCCCTCTTGTGCTTGGGCCCCGGTGCAGTTGCACCACCTGCGCTCGAGAACGACACCAGGAATAGGGCAGTCAGGAGCAGGGCTATCTCCCGTGGGTTATATCGCTGCTGCTGTCCGGTACTTGCACGTTAGTCCCTGCCCAAGAAAGTCCTGGTTGTATTATTTATTTGGCGAGCCGCTGTGTTCTCTGGATGTCATTGCATGTATGTTGAACTTCTTTCGCACCGTACGTAGCCAACCGCTTCCCCCCCTCCCGAGTCCGCTTAGTCTTCACACAAACACGGGGTTTACAATCAGGGGCCCGTCCTGGTCGTGTGTTGTTGGCAAAGTTTAACTGTGGTCCAATTTGTTGTCGATCATTATCATCATCAACATTCATCTATCCACTGCTGGATGAAGGTCGACCCCCAAACGATTGCCGTCTCAACGATCCACGTATCCATAATAAAGGTTTTTGGGTTAGATCGCGTTATGTATAAATGTGTCGCAACCCTCCACCACCCGACACGGCCAATCAGTAAAAAAAACCCGCCAATTAGTTACTTCTTCAGCCCACCGGTTTGTTTGAAGAGTGAATCCACAACATTTAGAATTTGAGTACGACGTTTCGCTGGTAATTACATCCAGCATCTTCGGGCCATTTGCCAGAATAGTGAAGCCATCCACCTGCTTCCGGTCTTAAATAGCGCAGGACGACGTCATCATTGAACCCCATCAGGTTTCGAGATCAGAGGCGGAGGTGGGGGGGGGGGGTATTGTTAGTAACTAATTGGCGTTTTGTTAAGTGACACATTTTATTACTGATTGGCCGTGTCGGTGGTGGAGGGTTGCGACACACACTTACGCGATCTAACCCAAAAACCTTTATTGTGAATAATACTGGTCGCGAAAACCTACGTGTTAAACGGATTCACGAATCGTTTGCACGTCGGCTGATTCCATCGCTCCATCTCCACGGGGGCGTGCTTCTAGGCGGGTCCCTGCTTGAGCTGCCCCTTCCCGTCATGAGTCGCGAGCCACGTGCCCTCCGTCATCCCTTCTTGCGACGTGTCCTCCCCAAGGCGACTTAGATGTCTTAAGAATCAATACGATGTCTCGAACTTTAATTTTTTTTAAGTAGCTTCTTTGCATTCACTGCATCATAAATGTAACTTATTAATAAAAAAATAACATCCATAAACCCTTGTCCCGATCCTATGTTGGATTTTGTTGGTCAAGGAGTAAATTTGGCCGTCACGTCATTTCCCTAAACGAGTGTTACCGGTTTTGAGACGCAAACTTTCACGGTGGTCACCTCTGCCCCATAAATTATTTTCTGGATGAAGGTCGAGTCCTTTTAAAGTTCATAGCACATTAAATTAATTATGTACTGTAGATGGTATTTTAACAGCGGAAAGTATGCGTTAATATTTAATAATACAGCAATTATAATAAACATACACTTTACTCTTCAAATTCAGCAGAATATCTCCTGCCTGCCATGTCCGTCGCGATTTTAGCAGAGGACTAATTTCTGTGGTGCCCCCTACGTAAAGATGATGGTGATGGTTAGTTTTTACTACTGCTCGGTGCTTGCTCTGGGTCTGAGGATACATCGATTGATATTGATGCTGTTGGGTCTGAGGATATGTCGATTGATATTGATGCTGTTGGGTCTAACGATACATGGATTAGTATTGATGCTGAAGCTCACAACACTTGCGTCAAATTTCACGTGTGAGAATCAATGTGTTTCCGATTCCTATGTGGGAATGGGTTTGTGTGATGCCCTCCCCCCCACCAGCCACTAGCGGCCACGACATTGACAACAATATAAACACATCACAATGTGATTCCTGAATCTAAATGTTGCACCCCTACTATGGGTCAGCCAAGACCGTATTTTTTTATTTGAGAGAGTTCAGTGGTTCCCGTGAGGCATTAAGATGCCCATATATATTTAATTGCTCTACGTTTCTCAGCCAGTGGTAGACATTTATGTACGTCAATGAGGCCACGGACTGTGGTAGGCCCTGGTTTTAATTGAGGCTCCGACTGCATCGCAATTTTGGGGCATGTCGTCGCGCGGCATTCTGCGGCACTGTGGTCAAAATAGAATGTTTACGTATGGACGAGAGGATTTCAAGCTAAGAATTCCAGACACGCTGCGATACCCGAGTGACCCAGGTTCAAAGTACTCGGCGGAGAAGTGGAAGCGTATGAAAACAAATATGTTTGCACCCAGGGCAAGGCGCCTTCCTCGCCCCACCAAAACATTTGAGCCACCAGTCGCCACTGCTAGCT